CCCGCCGCTGTGGGCCCGCAGTCGTGGGCGAGGGCCAGCGGCGGGCCTGCAGCTGGGGTGGCGGTGCAGCCGCAGCCACCGCAACAGCAGCAGCAGCAGCACCAGCCCCAGCCCCAGCACCAGCACCAGCACGAGCACCAGCACCAGCACCAGCACGGGTCGCAGCAGCAGCACGGGTCGCAGCAGCAGGGGCAGCAGCCGCAGGGACACAGGACGCTCGGGCAGCAGCTCCCTCATGGTCTGCCAAGCGCAGCTGATGACAGCGGCCTCCCAGCTGGCTTCCGCAGCCTGTCCGTCTCTGCTCAGGTCGGCCCACCTGCTGCGGCCCCAAGGGCCGGTGGCCCGCCCACAGCAGAAGCACAGCCCTTCGGACGCGGCTTTGGGCTGGCTGGGGTTGGAGTTCTGTGTTAAGTTGAAGAGCCCAAAGCCCACAGAACTCCAACCCCAGCCTGGTGCACCACACGGCGATGACCGGTGTACTGTCAGCTTTGCAAGCGCACATGTGCCTTCTGCCTTGTTTTTCAAGCCTGGTTGTGGGCCCGTTATTCTTGAACTTGACTTTCTTGCTCGCAGATACGCGCAGGCCATCCAACCATTCCACACATCCATTGTCGACTCCACACAACTACACACACCTCGACAGGCGGGCCGCGGGGCTCCACTCGCTGCACCGCAGCTGAATGGAGACAGACTGATTGGCGGTCATGACGGGCTCCTGCGGCCCCCTCACATGGTATGATATACAATTCTCGGGAAGTGCTGTGCCACTTGTTTACAGGGATCATGCAATTCACATCAGGTTTGATTGTTGCAAGTTGACCTAGCTTGCAATTCTTGCAAGGTTACAACTCAGCCCTTGACTGTTTGAGCAAGTACTCCCCTCTCAAACACCCCGCTTCCGCAGGAGGGCTCAGGCCCAGTGTACACCGTGATGGGCAACGCCCACGCCCACGCCTTCGTGGTCAGTGGCCCCGGCGGCATGCAGGACGACGACAACAGCGGCGGCAATGCTGCAGACTGGTCCCCGAGCTCATGGCGCGGCGCCAACCCCATGACTCGCGCTGGCGGGGGCTCCGACGTCCCCGGGCGCAACAGAGTGCCGCTGCAGGGCGGCAGCCGCGAGGTGGGGTGTGTGACTTTCAATGTGATGGGAGTCTCACATTTGTGCAGTCCAAATCTCATCCAGATACCATCTTGACATGTGTGCTCAACAATCTGCAACGATATCAGGCTGTGTTTGGACTGGCCGCCGGCCCTGCGCAGCCGCTGTTTGGTCTGGGTGAGGCCGACCACGGCGAAGACGAGGCCATGGTGGATGCCGATGAGGTAGGCCAGTCAAGATGGATTTGAGTGCAAATCTTCTGCTTGTTGTTCTCTGAAGGACAGACACATGATGTCAACTGTGAAAGGCAGCATTCACAGGCAATCTGTTGGTTGCTCGCACTTTCCAACCCGTCTGCTCGCTGGATTCTGCAGGAGGGCTTCGCCCCAGAGTTCCTCAGCCCGGGCGGCGCAGCAACCCGCACGGCCCGCGGCCCCTGCGGCAGGGCCGGGCGCGAGGACAGCAGCGGCGTCATCGCTGGGGGGCGCGGCCGGTTTATCTGCTTCAATGCTGACCCCAGCAATCACGGCGGCGGGGGCTCTTCCAGCCCAAGGCGCAACAACCTGCCGCTGCAGTCCGGCGGCCACCAGGTGTGGTGCGGGGCTCTCACTGTCACTGCAAACAACTCTGGCATGTTTGCACTGGTTGCCAACCAACGTTCACAGCTTTGCTGACCCGGTCGACCGCTGCAATCTGCAACATGTGCAGGTGGGCCTTGGCCCGGCTGCCGCCCCTGCCCAGCCCTTGTCCCCCCGTCTCACCACCGGCGAATTTCTGGTAGGATTATGCAGATCACACCTTGACGGGGGCCGGGAGGGGGGGGAAGAGGGATTTCCTGATCACGCACAGATACTGCAGTGAGCCGTTTTCGTGGCATCCTCCCTTGTGTGCAGCTCTTGACGTGGAAGCTTGCATGCAATCAGCTCAGAGCATTGCAAACGCTTTGCAAAGCCACTGATATCCCTCAACTCGCCTCGCCTGGCTGCCCGCTCACCCATGAATGCCAGAAGGCACCCCAAGAAGAAAGCTTGCGAAATGATGGCGGCTGCAAGGGCCCACCTGCGCAGCAGCAGCAGCAGCAGCAGCAGCAGCCCCAGCCTCTGGGACGGCAACATCAGCAGCCGCCCTACCAGCAGCACCGGCAGTCGCCGCGCCGGGCGCTGCCGCCACCATTGCTTGAGGACGAGGAGGGCAGCGAGCCGTTTGAGGCGGGCAGCATGGAGGATGGCTGCGGGCATGCTGGCCTTGGCGGCCGCAGCCGCAGCGGCGCTGTTCAGGGCGGCGGTGGAGGCGATGCGGGTTGCGGCCAAGAAGGGCTTGAAGATATTCAGGTTGGGCTGCAGGCTGTGTGGGTGCGACTGGCAATGCCTGAACCGTCCCATTCACAATTGTCTCAAGCTATCATATGTCGCGTGGTTACATCCAGCAACGCTCGCACTGCATTGCCTATCAGGTGCACAGCATGTTGACATGTGGTGCCATGGAGAAACAGCCTCCTGCTTACAGATACTAGCCGCACATACTATCCGCCGCAAGCACACCACCAGTTTGCCTTTCCCCGCCCACTCTCAGGCCTCACCTCCACAGCTTGCAGCGGCTCTCCTGCACGCGGGTGGACGGCCCCTGGGCGCCTCGCCGCGGCGGCCGCGCGGGGCAGAGGGTGCAGGCACTGTCGATGACAATGGCGACGCCAGCGGGGCGCGCAAAGCCATGAAGACGGGTGAAAACAGCCCAAGCTCCTCGCGCCACGGCTCGCCGCCGCAGCAGCAGAAGCAGCACCGGCAGCTCCGTGGCGCGCCGCCCTCCCCACTTGGGCTGTCCGCGGGGTGCGCCGGAGACCGCACCGCCTCTGACGCAGGGCTCACACCTGTGCGCACGCGTCGGGCGGCCGCGAGGGTGGCGGGCGGCGGGGAGGAGAGCAGTGCTCAGAGCACGCTGCAGCGCGCAGCAGCGGCGGACGCGTCTCAGCAGCGTGAAGAGAATACGACACAGCAGGGATTGAGTGCCCACCAGATCGCTGCGGCCGTTTGCGGATATGTGAGTTGCAATACTGCACTGCACGCGACGCCTTGTCCTGAGCAGCCGCCTGAAGTTCGATGGGCTGTCGGTGCAAACACGTGTATGCCAAGCGCGGGCATATCAGCTTTTCACCACGTTCACGCGACCTCAGTCTCCATACCCACTTTTAACTGCTTGGTGTTGACAATGGCCTCTCGCCACCTCCGCATGTATGCCAGCCGCGGCTGGTCAACCGCTCCGGGGATCTCAACGGGTTTGTCACGCTGGCTGCACAGAAGCCAGGCCTCCTGGAAAGCCTGGGCAAAAAGGAGGCTTGCAACACCACCTGCTTCAAGCTGGTGAGCTCAGAGCAACCGCGGCCTCTGTTGCAACATTGCTGCACCTAAACGTTGCAGCTTGGCCCACTCGACGCTTGCATGCTCCTCAAACCAAATTCCAGGAAGCACCTCTGAATGTTACCAACATTCTTTCCTTGCAAACAACCGCGGCTTATGACCTCACCCTTGCTCTGCCTGTCCCTTACACCCACCTCGCCCAGACTACCCTCCTGCGCAAGTTGGGCAAGTCTATCGAAGATCAGGACGAAACGGGGCGGGCAGCGGAGGGCGAGCAGGGGCAGGCAATTGAGGGCGGGCTCCCGCCGATGGCGGTTGTGCGCGACCTGACTTCTGACAAACCGCTGGTGCTTACGCTGGAGGGGGGAATCGAGGTGCTGTGGTCTGGCCCAAACTCAACGCCGTGGCCAAACGGTTTCGCGCTAATGCCCAGCCAGCTGCAGCGCCTGCAAGAGAACGGAGGCGACAAGTGGGAGGCGGCGCTAGCTGCGTGGCACAGGTTTGGGCGGGCGAAGGTCAGCAACGCGGACACCCATGTGAAGTTGGTGGCCTGGAAGGTGTGGGAGAAGCCTCCGTCCACTGAGCGCACGGGGTGATGGCCGATTGCCTTTCTGTGCTTGATTCTTCAAGCAGCTGTGCAGCGACGTGGCAGCTGTGCCACGGGTCGTGCTCATGCGGACAGGCGAACAGGGGGAGAGCCATGCACACCTGGTTTTTTCAGTGGCGCTGTGTCTTCGGCCGTGAATCGGCATCTTGTTTCCTCATCAATCTTCTTCTCTTGTGGGTAACCCAAATATTTGATGGCTGAGGGTTGCACATGGGGCATAAGAACGAAGTGGGCAAGGTGTGAATGCAACCATCTCAGGAAAGCCTGCAGCTTCCTGCCAATGAAAACATGTGTCAGAGGAAATGACAATATTGTGTCATAGGATCTTCACAGGGAAACCCAGCGCAACTCTTGCATTGTGGCAACAATGTCGTCAGGTAACTGAGTGACAGACAGGTGCAAGCTGGGTGCTGGTCCAACCAATCTAAATAGTCATCAACAAGCTCATGGAATTTTTTCAGGGATCCACGAGCTTCTTGATACTGATCGACCTTGAAATAGCCTCAGCTGCTGTTCCAATTGTCTGACCTACTGTTTGGCCATTATCACACCATTAGTGGGACCTCGTAGTGCGCAATATAATCACGTGACCCCTTACAGAGGTTTCCTAGCTGGACCATGAATTGTCTGACCAAACAAACGCAGCAACAGACGCGGCAATCACTAGGAGTATTGCGGAGGCCATGACCCCCATGAGGTTGGCAACTCCCAAAAATAATTGGAACACCCACGTTCCGCGAAGACAAGCCGAGCATAATCCTGGCATTAAGTTGATCGATGTGCCCTTGTAAATTTTCAGGCTGGCTGGTGTTGTCACCGCCGTCATGCAATCAAACAAGCAGGTGGTAATGATAAAATGAATCGGCTCCGGCATGGTCTGGGCTCGCTTAGCCCTGCCAGGTTGGTCAAACCTGCCAAATGACAAAAATGCATACATACCCCCGACATGCATACCGGTATTTTCATGCTGTACGCACAGCAAGCTCTGACATGTTCCAGCCCCACTCTCAGGCAACAAGTGGTGGGCGTGCACCACACGCCGCAGATTACGCTGTGCTTGTGAACGAGGTGGGTGCTCATGCTGCCACCGCGAGTCCCGCGGAGGAACGTTCCTCTCGCGCATGCATCCCTCATTCCCGTCTACCATCCAGGTCTGGCTACAGAGCTTTGTGATACACGAATGACACATTGTCTACGGCAACCCTTGTGCGCATCAAATCCTTCTCTGGGTTTGACCGCGTCCATGTGTTTCATCAGGCCGTGTGCCAGCGTCAGCTTGCGGCAGTATTTTTGTTTCCTGTAAGAGAAGTCTGATGCACGCGTCGAAGTACATATGCAAGTTTGAATTGTCATGAGATCTGCATCGCGGATGCCTGTACTTCGCCAAGCGAGCATTTGGGACGAGTGGCGAATTTTCGGAAACGCACTGGTAGATGAATGTTCGCGAGCGGGCTCCTGGGCCCGTTTGCGGCACAGCTGCTGGCGCACTGCTCCATCGGTCGCCCGCTGGTGCAGCGGCGCCTACTGTCGCCACAGATGATGATGGTTGCTGATGCCACCGCACCATGATACTGTGCCGCTTGCATTCAACTCAACTTTACCCCCTGTTTCCTTGCCACATGGCAAATTTGCAGGATCACCAGTGATGCGGCGGCGCTTCACAACGCGCCAGCCCTACGCACCTGCCCAATTGTAGATGCATTGTCATGGCGGCTCAGCACACGCTCCTCAGGGCTCTGCCGTGCGAGGTCCTGCAGAGCATCATCGCCCGCCTCCCGGACCCGGCCAGCTTTGCCAGCACCAGCAGCGGCAGCCTGCAGCTATGCCGCAAACTTGACACTGAGTGGTTCCGGGCGCAGCACTCGACTCAGGCGCCAGGACGGCCGTGGCAGTATGCAGCGGTAACGTGGCGACGACTGAAGCAGCAGACAGCGGAGGGCATGGCCATGTGGATGCTGTGCTATGCCCGATATCGGCAACAGCAGCAGCAGCAGCAGCAGCAGCACCAGCAGCTGCAGGAGCAGGAGCCGGGGCAGGAGCAGGGGCAGCGTGGGGCAGCACCAGACATTGCAGCCGCAGAGCGCCTGTTGGCGGACGGCGATGCAGTGGGAGCCCTGCTGGCGCTGTGCGGACCCACGGCGTCCCTGCTGCTCCTGCCCTACGCGGCTCAGGGAGGCGTCGCGGCGCTGCTGCAGCCGCTGGCCCTGCGCCGCCTGCTGTGCCCGGCCGCCGGCTTTGATCTGGGCGGCGGCGCGCGGCCTGTGCCTCGGGAGGCCCAGGTTGTGGCGGCCGCCAAGTCGGCCATGCTGGCCGGCCGGTGGGCGGACGCCATGGATATCTGCCGCGCATGGCACGGCGGCTCAGGTCACACCGCGGCGAACGTGTTGGCAGACCTGCAGCCGTTTGCCGTCCGCCGCTGCCAGGCCGGCGTCGTGCGCAGCGCGCTAGCGGCCGGGCTGCTCTGCAGGCTCGACTTCCTGTGGTGTGCGTTCCGCGCGCGTGCCGCCGGCAGCGACGCGGCCGAGGTGTTTTCACTTTGCCATGAGCAGATCAGCAGCGCAGTCGTTGAGCAAAAATTCAAGGCCCTTGTGCGGGGCGGCATGGACGAGACCAGCGCCCGCCACGAGGCGGCGGCCGCGGCGAGCTGGACAGCCGCCGTGCAGCTGTGCCTGACGGGCGCGCCGTTGGGCCCGCGGCCGGCGCTCTGCGAGCCGGGGGTGCAGGAGCAGCTGCTGCTGATGGCCACGCAGCATGCCGACCACCGCACCTCGCGGATCGGGGAGCTCGTCGCCTCTGCAGCGACAATGGCGGCGATGCTGGATGACGGGTACCTGCACCTTCAGGTGCTGCGCGGGGCGTGCTTCGCGCTGACCATGGCTGGCGAGCGCTGCAACCTGCCCCGGGCCCTGGCGGACACCGTCTGCCGCCTGGCGGGCAACGACGGCGCCGGGCCCAAGGGCTGGGGCAGCCCTTACTGTTGGGAGAACGTCCTGCCGCCGCTTGCACCCGCGGCGCTGTTTGCTGCTCTCGACGAGATCTGGGCGGAGGCGCATGGGCAGGGCATCGCGGTGCAAGTCCTGCAGGCAGTGGTCGCGGCCCTGGACCCTCCCCCCGAGGCTGCCTCTCAGCATGTGGTGTTGTCAACGGCCGGCCGCGCCTGGCTGGTGCCCCGCCTGGCTTGCACCGGGCTGCGGCTGGGGGCTCACTGCGGCTGGCCCACGCTGCACGCGCTGCACAGGCAGCTGGCGGGATGCTGGTCCGGCCTGGGTGCAGCGGGGGGCGAGGAAGTGGTGGAAGACATGGCTCATGCTTACTTCGCGGCCGTGCACGAGAAATTCGGCTGGGGCACGCAGGACCTGCAGGCTCAGCGGATGCAGCTGGCTGTCATGCGCGCGGTGCGGGGCGGCACCGCGCTGGATCTGGAGCGCGCGCTTGGCGAGCAATGGGCTGTGCAGTGCCAGGTGGGTGGCCGGATGCCTAGAGCTCCCGTGTGGCAGTGGGGCGCATGCAGTATGCATAGAGCGCGGGATTGCAAATGCAGGCTGGTTGTTATTTGGTGGAAGACCGTTCTTGCCTGCACGACCCGCACATGACTGTCACGAGGCCTCCTGCACACACACTCGCGTGCACACGCGGCACCGCACGACCGCGCGCCCCTTTTCCCCCAGGTGCTGGCCGAGCTGCAGGCGGCGGCGCTTGGCATCGCGGCCCCCCTCACCAGCCCCGCATTCCAGGCCTGGGTGGACGAGCTGACCCTGGTGCAGGACTACATCAACTATGCGGCGGCCAGCGCAGCCGAGGCGGGGCGCTTCCATCAAATGCTTGCGGTGCTCGACAGTCCGCAGGCACGTCACCTGGCGGTCCGCGACGATGTCGCGCCGGTCGACGCGCGGGGCTGGATTCGGGGGCGGCCAACCGCCGCCCTGAGCGGGATGCTTGGGGCCATCCGCAGCGGCAGCCTGGAGGACGTGTCGTGGCAGGACCTGGGGGTGACGGCCCACGACCTCCACGCCTGGCTCCTGCTCTCCATGGCACTCGGAGGGGGCCGTGGGGCGACAGCCTGCACGCGCTGCTTGGCGGCCGCGTGTGCGGCGGCGCCCGCATGCGGCCGCCGGCCGAGGGCGTGGACGCCTTTGCACCGCTGCGCCGCGTCCTCTCTCTGTGGCCTGAGGACGGCTGGGCGCTCACCAAGTTCCTCGATGCATGTTGGGACGACTCCTTCGAAGTGCGGCTGGAGGATGGGGAGCTCATGGCCTGGCTAGAGGCCGAGGGCCACCCACGCGCGTGGGCGGGGCGCGTGTCGGGTGAGGCCACACGCCACCTGCTGAGCTGCGCGGGCGGCGCGGATGCCCTGCGGGCGGCGGTCAGCTGGCTGGCGGTCGCGGAGTGAGAGGATTGAGTCGGATGGGGGCTGGGGCAACAACAACTTTTGGTTTTGGATGCCCTTTTTGTTTGATTAGTCTCACTTTTCTAAACCAGAAGGTTAATAGAAATTATGCAAGCATCCTTGTATACTAAGGTTTGGACCTCTGGGTGGCGGCGTGTTTGCGTGCTTCCATGAACTTGCCTGCCTGCCAAAGGTGTTCCTGTACTGTGTCACTCCTGGCTCACTTCTTCCCTCAGAACGCACAAAATAAGAAGAACGCGCTAAAAGTGTTTGAGGCATCCAGCAGTCGCACCAGACACCTCGCACCTGCACATGAGACACAGGCCCCGCGCCACCGTCGCCGTAGAGATAGCCAAATTGCCTTATTAGGCGGGGGGGATCTGGCGATGCACCTGATCACTCGCTGCTGCCGTGATTGCAATGCACCCCCAGCAACGCACTGCAAACACAAGGGCATACGTATTTATTCAGTGTGTGAAACCGGAAGTTTGTTGTGACATCCAGCTGCAGCTGTCGAAGAGCGGTCAAACCTGGACGTTTCACTGTCTGTAGTCGCGCGCTGCGCCGGCCCCCGGAGGCGCCGCCGGTTGTACTCCTCAAAGTGCCCGCCCACGTGGGAATCACAGGCAACGAAAGAGCCGACGCCATCGCGACAGGAGTGGCAAAAGAGATCAG